GAGCAACAGCGGTTCGAGTCAGCCCGAGCTGAGCAGCCGTGAGCTGCCAACAGGTGGCGGGATGGCTCAGCTAAAAAAAAAAAAAAAAAAAATGGATTTGAATGTTCCCGTATATGAAGAGTATTTGTATTAGTAATGGTACAAAAAGACCAAGTATTGAAAGTAATAGAAAACAATTTCTGGGTTTAATTGATTTGCTTACTCTAAATTTTCCTCCTTTCTTTTCTTTCTTTTTTTAGAGTCAAGTAAAGAACAGTTTGCCAGTACAAATATTGCTGAAGAACTGGTAAAACTCTTCAAGAAGCAAATAGAACATGATAAGAAGGAAATGATTTTTGAAGTTCTTGCTCCATTGGCAGAAAATGGTGAGAAAATAAATGCGCTTCTTGGTTTTTTGGGTTTGTTGTTTGTTTGTTTGTTTTGTCTTGTAGGCTTTTTCCATTTTTTCTAACATTTAATTTCAGCTATTTAATTCAAAACCCTTTGTTTTATTAATGATATGTTTTATTTTGGATATCTCTAGCTATATTATCTACGCTGTAACTGTATCTGCATTGGCCAAAACTACTTTCCAAGTTCCTTTGACTTTAAAATCTTGGCAAAGATGATTCTGTAGCTTACACAGTCTTATACCATTTGGAAAAAGCAGCTGAGAAGCTGAATTCCATTTATATACCCTGGCAGACAAAGGAGAGAAAAGTTGGAGTCCCACGCCTGCCAACACTGTGGACACTGATAAACTACTTCGTCTTTGGGCAAATACCTTATGGGATACACCCTAGGAATAAAAGGAACTATAAAAATAATTCTTCAAATATAGTGTCTAGCACATATTCAAAGAGGACCAGACACATGAGGAGACAAGACATTGTAAGCAAGAACCAGCACAAAGAACAGGCAACAGCAGCAAATCCCCAGATACTGAAATTATTAGACATTGACTCAAAACAGGTATGCTTATTATGTTCAAAGAGTTAAAAGCAGGCTTCAAAAATGTAGGAGGAAACTAGACATTATAAAAAGTGACCTAGCAGATTTGAAAAAGAAACAATTGGAAATTCCTGAATTGAAAAATGCAGTCCAAGTTAAGAACCTAATGGATGGGTTGAATGACAGATTAAATATAGTTGAATTAGAGAACCAATGAACTGGAAGATAGATTGAAAGGAAATCCAGAAAGGAAAAAAAAAATATATATATATATATATATATAAAACAGAATAAGATGTACAGAAGATAAAATGAGCAGCTCTCATATACATTTTTTGGAGTCCCAAAAAGAATGAAGTCAGATAATGCCAGCAGCCAAAGGGGTAAAATGGCCTGTGACATTATCCTGTCCAGAGCTTAGAGGTGCACGAAGGACATAGGAGCCATTTACACTGACACAGCTGCCGCACCAGTTAAATGAGTCTTTGGCAGCTTAGACGTACTATATAACACACTCTGTCAGTGGCCATGCGTCTTCCGTCCATTTTTATATACAAACATGCACACATTCCTTGAGTGAATATAATGTAGAACTAAAGCCTTATGATTAGATGAAACACCAGAAATAAGAGGAAAGTCACACTGCTGCGGAATAGCCTGGCCTGAATAATGGTGATCCCAACTAACCCATCCGGTGTGGTTTCTTTGCTCCCTTATGGCCTTTGGATATGGTGACAGCATTTGGAAGCTTGGTGGTGAAGAACTGAAGATAACTGGTGCTGGATCAAGGAGCTTTATTTTTTATTCTGTCAGCTTGCTGTTTTTGGAACATGGTAATTGAGTTGAATAGAATCACAGTACAATAACTGATCTCCCTTCCTGGGTGAGTGAGCAGATGATGAAATAGTGATGTCAGTATCCTTGACTATATCCAAGTGGGCGGTGTTTGGCCACTGCTTCTGTTTGAAATGATGCCCTGCTTTGGTTGTGGCTTGAAGCTTTGAAGTGCTGCGTAGCATCTCCTTTCTTCCATGGACCTCTCACCGTTCAAACACCACAGATTTGGTAAAATACTGGTTAGGTTTGTCTCCGCTCAGCCATCTTTGTATGAATCCGATTGTTGTTTGTTTGGATTTTTTTCTTTTTTTTGTCTTTTTAAAATGGATTTTAGCTGATATTCGTGTAGAGCAGTGAGTACTTAGAACTGTGCCACTGATGAAAGGAAATCCTATGTAAAAAAAGTGCATTTCTTTACCAGAGCTGTGTCATACTGTTCCTTGGGCCTTCTACTGGAAAAATAGAATCAAGTCTCACATAATGCTTTTTTAAGTTGTATCCCCTAGTATTTTAGATTAGGACAGTACTATATCATTCTGTGAATGTAAAATATCTTGTACCTGCTTTATTATCATAGTAGTGACTATGCTTTACCAGAGCTATTTTTAATGATGTTATTCTAGAATGTTTTCTTTACAGATGATGATTGAGAAGCTAATTTTTAAAAATGGTGCCAGGTATACCACAACAGTAACAGAACTTTGCCATTTTCTGGGGTTTTGGTTTTCACCTTTTTTTTTTTCTTTAATGACATGTGCTGGATGTCTCTATAATTTTGTCCAGGTGACTGCAGAGCCTGGAAAACCTTGTTGCTACTATTGATACATAACATACTACTATTGGTTTCATACACACACACATACACAGAGGGTGCCAAAAAGATGTATACACATTTTAAGAAAGAAAAAAACTATTAAAATTGTAATACTTGATATATACTAATAACAAAAGATGAATACAAGTCACATTTCACTTCTGCAATTACAAGAGGTGCTCAAAGTGGTTACCATCAGTGTCCAGACACTTCTGATTATGGCGAACTACTGCTTGAGCAACATTAACCAAAGTGTCCACTTGTATACATTTTTTTGGCACCCCTGGTATATGTATATACAAAAAAAAAGTGTGGGTGAGGTGAGAGGACAGAGGAAATATTTAAAGAAATGTTGGTGGAGAATTTACCAGAAATCATGAAAGATATCAAAGACCCAAGAAGCCAAATGAATCTAAAACATGATAAAAAGAAATCTACATCTAGATACATCATATTGAAATTGCAGAAAACCGATGATAAAAGTCGTAAAAGTCACCAGGAAACAAATAGATTATCTTAAAAGGGGCAATAGTTAGACATACAGCGAACTTCTCAACAGCAGCCATGAAAGCCAGATGACAGTGAAACAGCATATCCTATGCACTGAAAGAAAAGAAATGCCAACCCAAAATTCTAAACCCAGTGAAAATACTCCTCAAAACTGAAGGCAAAATAAAGTTATTTTCTGAGGAAAAACTGAGAAAGTTCACCACAATACACCTCAGAAGTCAAAGAAGAATCCTGATGGAATTTAGGAAATTTTCTAATGAAAATGAAAATACTGTCTCAAATTTTATGTTATATAGGTAAAGATACTTAGAGGGAGTTTTTTGCCTTAAATTAATATATTAAAAAGGACAAAAAGTAAAATAAATGAGCTCAGTATTCTTCTCAGAAATTAAGGGGAAGAAAACATAAATGAAGCTCAGAGAACATAAAAGAAAGGAAATCTAAAGAGCTGAAGTTAATAAAATAGGAAATACATAATTCAATACAAGCATATAATCACCACAGTTGAGTCTGAAGAGTTAATAAAACTGGTAAATTCCTAGTAAGATTAATCAGGAAAAAAAGAGAGAAGGCACAAATAAGGAAAATTAAGAATACAAAAGGAGATCTCACTACAGACCTTACATTAAGAGGATGTTATGAACAAGTTGAAGCCAATACATTTTCAAGTATGGATGACAAAGCAGAAATAGCAAAGCTGGAAAAACTTACCTTAAAGTTTTCCAGAGAGTAGGAAAAGCAGATATACTCACCAATTTATTTTATGAGGCTAATATAACCTTTACACCAAACAAACAAAGACAATACAAGAATGAAAATTAAAGGCCAGTCTCACCATGAACATAGATCCAAATTTCTCCTTAAAATTTTAGCAGACAAAATCCAGTAATATATTTAAAATTCATCATCATAGCAAGTAGGACATATTTCAGAAATGCAAAGCAGTTTAATATTCAAAGTGCAATCAATTTATCACTTTAAAACTTATTAAATGGAGATATATCTTCTTAGATTCTTAAAAGCATTTGATACAATTATCCATTCATGATTTTTAAAAACTCTATAAACCAGCATTAGAAGAGAATAAAAAGGATATATACCAGAAGCCTACAGAAAACATCACACTAAACAAACAAATCAAAACCTTTTATTTCTGTATGCCAGCAAAAAAAGTTAGAAAATACATTTTTAAAAATACATTGTTTACCGTAATATAAGATATTACTTACATTATTAAGCTATCACTTATCTTTATACTGTCAGAATGGACCAATAAAAGATGTGCAAGATCTCTGGAAGAAAATTGTAGAAAATTATCAAGAGAAATTAAAGAAGATCTAAATAAATGAAGAGCTGTATCACTTTCATAAATTAGAAACTTCAAGCTTGTGATGTTCTGTCTCTCCATATTGAACTGTAGACTCAATGCAGTTCTAACCAAAATCCCAAAAGACCAGGAATAGCCAAGATACTGTGAAATACAGGGTAACAGAACTATTTTTACTGCATAACAATAACTATTCTTCTGATAAAACTACAGTAAGTAAAGGGCAGTGTAGTACTGCAAGGATGGATGTGAAGACTGGTAGAACAGGATAGCCCAGAAAGAAAAGGGTACGTTAGTAGATGTTTATTTTATTGGGGGAAAAAGAAGTCACTGTAGAACTGTGGAAAGTATAATCTTTTCAATAAACAGTGCTGGGAATATAGAAAAAAAATACAATTGGAGACACACACACACACACACCCCACTTCATACTATATTTTTTTAAAAAATTAATTTCAGATAATAGTTGACCTAAATGGGAAAGTTAAAACCAGAAAGTTTGTGTTAAAATATAAGGTAGGAGAATATCATCATGGCCTTGAAGTATGGAAAGTTTTCTTAGGTCACAAAAAGCTCTAACCATAAAGGGAAAGAGTTGATAAATGTAGTTATTTTAAAAGTAAAAACTTCCATTTCTCAAGACACCATTAAGAGTGGAAAGGATGACAGTGGGTGAGAGAAGATACTTACAACACATATAACCAAGAGAAAGCTTATGTGTGCAATATGTAGAAACCCCCATAAATCATTAAGAAAAATGTAGAAAACCCTGTGGGGAGATATGTAAAAAATTTGAGTAAGCACCTGACAAAAGACAAATCCAATTGGCTAATAAACATAAAAATATGCTCAACTCATTAATAATCAGGGGATACAAACATATAAAATACTATATACCCACTGGAAAGTCAGATGATACCAAGCACTGAAGCAGGCATGGAGCAGTGGAAACTCAGTAAGTCCTGGTGAAAGTGTAAATTGGTACACTTTAGAAAACAGTGTCTACTGAGCTGCAGATGTCCATTCCCTATTATCCAGCAGTTCCACTCTTAGGAATATACCCAGAAACATGCAGCGGGAGCCATTACAGGAATATTCATAGCAGCATGATTTATAATAATGAAAAATTGACTGAATATCCATTAAGTCAAGGTATATGCATATAACAGAAAAACATAGTTAAGGAAAGGAATAAAGACATTTAAAACCAATAGTGTAGATGAATCTTACAAACATATGAAAAGGAAAAAGCCATCACTGATAATAAGGTAAAATTAAATTGTAGTTTTTAGAGATGATTATTTATTTGGTGAAACAAAGAAAAGTATGGCCGTGATCAGCATAAAAATCAGGGTAGTGATTTGAGAGGGATGGTGGGAGGGATTTGTGATAGGAAACCAGGATGCCCAGGGGCTTCCTGGGTTGTCGGCAATGGATTTCTTGATCTACAAGGTAGTTAGTTACATGGTTGTTAGCTTATTAATATTAAGTGCATAGTTTATCCACTTTCCTGCTTTGGGATTTTTTTCATCACTTAAAAAATTTTTAAATACATATGCATATATATACACACACAAACATACATGTATGTATATGATACATAATCTATGCATACATACATACATACATACATACATACATACATACATATATGTGCTAACAGTGGTGATAAAAATAGATGTCCTTGGGCAGAGTGGTGTTGATTAGTGTGTGCTGGACTATCTGTTGTACTTTGGCAGAATGCCTTGCTAATCCTCCTTAATAAGGCTGACTAAGCCTCCCACATATGTGATTACAGTCAGACTGTGACAGGAGAGATCTGTAAACTTTACTCTTGACATAGTTTTAATTTCCTAAATTCCTTAGATCTTATTCTTTAGGGAGAAATTTGTTTTTCATCTTATTTGGTGATTTAGCCCAATTTGTATTGTGACCTTCACTCAATTTTTTATCCCAGAGAAATAATTACCGGTAACCTTCCTTGCAGTGTTTCCAAATAACAATCTTTATTTCTTGTCTGTTTGTCTTCCATCCCCTTCACTTCTGTTTTATAATTGTGCAGTGGATTGAATGATACCTTTGAAAAGTTATTTCTGGACTATCCTTAGCATATCATCCTTGGTTTTCCTTAGATGCAAAGGAAAGCAATTCCAACATTTAAATTGGCATTTTGTCTACTTCAAGGTTTCTTAGTATTTTCAAGGCGTTTTCATCATGGCTTTCAATTCTGGTTGCAACACAGTTCTAGCCCTAGCATTCGGTAACCAAGGAAACGCCCTACTTTCAGCATGGCACAGTGCAAGTGTACCTTTTCAAAAAATATTCCAGGTTGAGTATTCTGTGTATTCTGAGATAATATTCTAAAGAAGTTCAGTGGCCCTGGTGGTAGGAAAAAAATACTAAATGTTTACACATTAAAATCACTTGAAAGAAAAATCCAGTATGAAAGAAAAGTCTTTGTTTCTCCCAAATGACAAGCTAAAACTGCCATTGCCGTAGATGTGTGCATATACAACTTAGGGAAACCAATGACTAAAATAAAATTCAACTAAAAAATAAAACTGAAGTTTAAAAATTTTTGTGTAGCAAATGTATTTCTAAGGTCAGTTGATCTGCATTTATAAGTGTTATCAGATACTCCCAAAGCATTTGGATAGGCTAGTTTAGGTTAAAATATTAATACAAAGATGAAAGATGTATGATACCTGTTCTAATGGAAGAGACAGATATGGATGTGAATATAAAATCTTCAATGAAATAAGTTCTGTAATGAAAAGATATTTGTTATTAGGGTGATGCAAGCAAAATTGATATGAGAGTAGAATTTGCTATGAAGATAATTTTTAAAAATATAATTGGGATGTAAATTCTCTCTATAAATCCTTATTTTGTTGGTTATCCATCAGAAAGCTTGAAAGTTATACTTTTCTTTCACCTTTTATCATGGAAATTTTAAAGCCTATTCAGATGTAGACAAAATATATAGTATAATGAACCACCATGTATTCATCACCCAAGAAAGTTTCAAACTAATGAAAACCTGAAGCTTTTTTAAATGCACGACCTTTAAAATTCAGAAATTTATAGACTTATTAACTGCCTTAGGAAGATAACATCTATGCAATATGAATCCAAATATGCTTGTGATATAGTTTGTAATTTACTAATCTTTTCTTTTCAGTAACTTTTTATTCAAATATCATTAGTGGATATATTTTAACTTCATATAACACTTATGTATGTTTTATTTTAAACAATGTGGGGTATTTTATAGTATTGCCTTTGAAACATGAGCTTAATACCTAGAATAGCAGTGGAGTGATATTACTTACCTTCAGAGCTGAGAATCAGTTTGTTTAGGTCAGCAGTTCTCAACCTGTGGGTCGCGACCCCTTTGGGGGTCGAACGACCCTTTCACAGGGGTCACCTAAGACCATCGGAAAACACATATTTTCGATGGTCTT